GCAGATAGACATGGGGGTAAACTAGCAATTAGGTCATTAAGAAACAAGCACTGTAAAACAGCTATTGCTAATCTGCATAAGATACATTTACTCAGTTAAATAGATGGAATTGTTATTACTTGCATTCCATGGATGGTCTCCAAAATTAAGAAGAATGGGGGCAAACAAAGTGCACATTTGGTGATTTACAACCTTTCCATGCTAATTCTGAAGTGACAATGCAGAACAATATAATGAAATAAGCAAATTTGACAGATGCTTTGCATGCAAGCTTCAGGAAAAAATTATATATTTTTTTGCCTACAGTAACATAGATGCATCTCTTGCTTTTCTTTTCGGAGTCTCATTTCTTTTAAAAAAGTTAACAGACTGCTCATTCTGCTGCCCAGCAATAGCACTGCTATGGCTGACCAAACTAATTCTGTGCCAAATTTCAAACTCTGCTAATTACAGGTGGTGACTTTCAATCCTTCCTCTTGTTCCCTGCCAGGAAGCCTAGCACGGGAGGGCAGGATGCCAGCCAGTGAGGCAGCCGGTGAGGCCTGGACCCTGCTCACACAAGTGACATTGGGTCCCCTGGCAGACATGGGGGTCACACGCCACATCGCAGCCAGCAGCACGGCAGGGGACAAGGTGGTGCTTCTGTCAGAGATCAGGGGTGACCTGGAGGGGGAATAGTGCCAAACCCGCACCTCATGTGCAGGCACTGCTACTGGAGGTAATAAAAAAAAGCGACTCTCACGTGACACCCGGCAGAGGAGAAATACTGAAAAGTTCACACGTGGTCTTTCAGTGAAACACAGGAACATGCACACTACAATTTTAATGATTTTATACTTTCACTTGCACTTCTGTTTTCAAAAACTAGTCCTTTTAACACAGTAGTTCAGAGATTTCAATGAAGAATGCATGCCAGCTATTTCGAACAATGGCAATACATTACTATCTGACAATTTAACAAGTTTTTAATAACCCGAGTCAAGACCCTTTTCAAGGGCCCATTTTGTGGTAGGTATCTCAAACATAATGGCAGGCCTCCCTAACAAGCATTAAATGCACTATTTTGCTAGATTTGGCCCGGGTCCACGATGCTCGCTGAGGTGCTGAATGTTATCCATTTTCTCAAAATAGATTCAGCTACAGATAAGTTAGGAATTATCGCTGAAACTGGATCTCTCTGCTGATTTTACAAAATTAAGCTATTTTGTAAATATAAATAATGCAGCTGTATTTTAAGTACTCAAACCTCGTAAATTATTATAGGGCACTCAATGCACTTGTCAGAATAAAGGAACTTAAAAGCATGTGCTTAAGTACAGTAAATAAAGCAAGCACACATATACAAACACAGACAAAAAAACTTTAAAAATTGTCTTCAGAAGAGGGTAGGTTTAATCATTGGCAAAAGCTGGCAAAAGCAAATAACTGAAAGAAGAAAAGGAAAAGTCACCTATAATTATTCTGAATACTTTATTAAGGGAAATGCTAATTGCCTTCTCTGGTCTTTTATAAGAGTGTAAAGACTTAAAGGCATTTATTTCAACAATAGCATGAATCCATCTCCGAAGTCTGCATCCATGCTCTTGGAAATTCAAATTATGTTCAATTTCTATCACAAAAATCAACTCAATATGCACAAAAGAATTCTTAAACATAATATTTAAAAAATATTTACAAAGAGAATACAAGAATGTTCAAAACACAAGAGGTCACTTGTGAAAATATATACTTCAAGATCTAAACATTGGAGATTTCTCTCCTGTAAAGCAACATTTCTAGCAAAGTATGCTTTTGTTGCTACTATATAACTATTACCTCAGTTTTATGCTTCTATAGGAAGAAGCCAGTAGCAAAATTAGTCAGAAAAACAAAAGCTTATTTAAATTTAACAGCAGTACAGAAATATAAAAAACATATTTTAGAAGATCATAAAAATATTTGTTCACATACATCCCGTGTAGTAGGTATATCATATTACATCTTTGTTTATTAAGACAGTGGTAAAAACTCACTCTGAAGTGTTTCAAGTTCAGCCTTAGCCAGGGCATCTTCTTTCGCCTTCATTTTTGTTTCTTTATATTCTACATATAATTGTCTGGCATCCTTTAAGAAAATGTTGCAATGGCATTAGCATCCTTATACAAACAAGTTATTGCAATGGCTCTGTTTTAAGTTCTCAATTAATCTCACAAAAAAGTTTAAGAGACATTCATTTCCTTGAGTTACAGTAATTTTCAGTACAGAAAGTATTTGTTTAGAATGTTCAATTTTTGTGTAATAAAGTTTCAAATGCAATAGCGTTGATACTATAGGCTATGATGCTCATTGACAACCTGAAAAGCAAAATGGTTAGAAAGATGTTTCTGATCACTACCTACAGCTTTGTAAGAGGCCATGTACCCACTTTGCTCACATCAGCAATCTGGAAGTTCAAGGAAGAAAGAGTTGTTTTTAATCAGAGTAGTGTGTGCAGAGACAAATAAAGGCAATTGCTTGGTAGCAGTCGTCTTAGTGTGAACTCATTATGATAACACTAAGTACATGTTCCAAAACCCAACTTGTTCGCCTCCTCCCTTTCTTTTTTAAACCAACTTCTACATTGCTATTAAAGTGTTGAAAATACATATTAAGTTTTTTTCTCCAAGGATTAGTTAGATTCTATTCTGAAATCTATTTGGCAAATTTACACATAAAACTGCAAGTCCCATCACAAATCTCACAATAAGTTACACATTTCCAAAATCTGATGAATTAGTAACTATAGATTTGCATTGAAAGCTTTAAGTATGAACAAACAGATTGCTGAAGTAACAGGTATAGAGAGTTTTCTTACTCTCCCTTACCAGTTTAAGAGATTTCTATACTCATTCAAAAACAATGAATAGAAATGCTGAAATAGACAAATTCTTATTAATTTCCAAGCATGCAGAACATCTACTGTATTGAATCAAAATTATTTATAGTATTAGATATAGGATAGATAATATAGAATTATAGTATTAGATAAACCTAATTTCAGTTCCTTATAGCCAAAAATAACTTTATTCTTGTTATTATATTAACAGTCCAACTTTTTATATATAAAGGCTGATTTAAATTTTAATGTAGAATGTATTGTAAAACATCAGTAAAGATTTTTATAATTTTAACTATAATCCCATAAATTTGAACAAAAGCTGGTCTCATTAAAAATGAAATAAGACATCTGAATGAATTTTGAAAATAAAAACAGAGTTAAGCAGTCATTATTGCTGCCTCTAATGGTAGAAGTCATTGCTTCCTGCAAAGTACTACAACACAACAGTTGTTCTTTGCGTTATACTGGCATCTACCCTTTCAAGGATACCTGAGGGAGGTGGGACAACACAGGACAGAATCATGATCCAGCTCTGAGCAGAACTTTGGAATGTTTTGGAGACATCTCATCGATACAAGTCAGCACGCCTGAAGAAGAGCTCTGACAAATTCCCACAAAAGATCAGTAAGGTTTCATCTCCTTCCAAAATACCTCTTCTTACTCTCTATTTGTCTTTACATTTGGGTATGGGAAATGGGAAGTTACATTTCTTTGCCAGGTTTGTGCAGGAGATCACGGCACACAGAAGAAATTTTAAAGACTTTACATAACATTTTGCCACTGGAACATAGCAGATGAGAGCATCTCATGCTTACAGTTTTGTTTCTGGGGATGAGGAAGAAGGGGGTTTTGGTGGCTTTAGTAGAATTTGGGCTAAAAAAAGTGCGTAGGTACAGGAGGACTATCATTAACAGCAGGTATGAAGGCTTTGAGGAAACATATTCAGTTCACATGTTATAACATTGAATGACAAAATTAGGATCAGCATTGGGTCTCTTTTTGGTTTACCTGAAATATGAATTCCCTACCACATGTGGAAACTTTCCTTGCACTCTCCAGATTTGGACTATTTGCATCATTAAGAAACAGAAACATCCATAAATGTAACGGTTAACTTCTGCTGTAAGTTTGAGACGTTTGGGCTGCATGGCATACACAGGACTCAGACGTACTGATATCCAAAAAATGCTTTTGTTTAAGGCTATGATTTCAAAATGGCTACAATTAACCGGCATTTAAATTTAACCCATTTGACACTGAAAGCCAATATTTGATGCTAAATTCTGGTGTAAAATCCATTATTGCTTGTGGGATCTCCAGACAGCAGGCACTAGGGGGTAACTGTCAATCTCTCCAGCATGTCAATCACGGAACAATTGGAAATGTGGCTCAGATGAAAATGAGACACAATAGCTGAACAACAAAGAAAACTAGTCAGAAGCACATAAATGAAATTTAGTAGTATTGTTGCTTTATAGATATAAAATGGATTATCACTGCAAATGGAGTAATATCCAGGTAACAAAGGCAACGTTAGTCTTTTATATTATTAACCACAGTTTATTATGGCTGATACCATAATCACAAAAAAAGGGGGAGACAGCACATTTTGAAGCACACATAAAAATGTGTACATATAAAGTAAAGCAAAGGAAAAAACAATAAAAAAATTTCATCAAAATGGATTTTGAAGATTTGAAAATCAAATCCTTCCCACAAAAGCATAAGAAATGGCTCTACAGGTTGCAAAGAGAAATTAAAAGACATACCTGAGTAAATATTTTAGACACAGACTATAAAGGTATTAGACCTTATAAGTCAAAATGAAAGAAACACTGGAAAACAGTTTAAAATAGGAAGTTCTTTGAAGAAAACTTCTGCCTTAACATAAATAAGCACATTTCAATTTACGCCTCATTAGTTTTCAACAGTATCAGTCTAAACAGGAATATTCGTTTTCAAGCATATTCAGTTTTGGTAGAAGGAGTATTTCAAAATAGATTTAGTTTAGATTTTTTACTTTTCCAGTGTGATACATTTAAGCAGTCATTTTGCCTCAATACAAACATTTTAGGGCCCTAAAACCACTGGCAATATAGATACAGCCTCTTCCAATCTAATGCTTCTTCCTAAGATTCAGTAATGATTTTTCTTTTAGAGCGTCTTTTCCCAAACAGCTCAAAATATGCTCAACATCAGAATTTTATACCTGATGTATACTTCACCTTCAACAGGTAATAAACATAAGAAAAGTAGCATTTTTGTCCTTCTGGGGGTGGAAAGGCACAGAAGAAAAAGACACACAAATACAAAGCTTGGAACTGTTCTAACTAAAAGCTCCAGCTTACCTCATCAGAAATATTTTGTTCTCATTTGCAGGAGTTTAAGAAGTTTTCAGAAAAGAACATCAACGTAAATACGTTACTTTACCATCAAAGCAGTAATATGCATGTAGTTAAGCAAAAAGAATAATGAAGAGGGCTAATATATGCTGGTTTATTATACTATGACTTCAAATATACGCCTTCCAAAAAGGAACAGAATGAAAAAAGACTGTATTAGAAACGCAAAATTCTGCTATTAGTATTTCTAAATTGTATCTCAACTGCCATGTATAGGAAGTTCCTCTGATTACCCTGATATTTAACCAAAAGTTTCAAAAAGTGTTGCAGAAGAAAAATAAAATTGACAGACAAACACTTCATTAACATATTTTCAGTATTTTAACCACAATTAAGAACGAAGAATATTGAAAAATTCTTGTATTTCAGTTCCTCTTTATATCAGTATCATCTTGTATCAATAAATTTGAGATTGCCAAGACAAAGCTGCACTTGAGTTACACAGAAATACAGAAATCCTTGATACTGGACTTTTAAGGGTTTTTTTTTCTTTGTTTGTTTGGGAGTTTTGCATTTGGGGTTTTGGTTGGGGGTTTTTTGTGGGGTTTTTGGTTTTTTTAATTTTGTTTTGGTTTGTTTGTTGTTTTTAAATCAACAGATGCAGTATTTATTCAAACTGTACTAATTCTGGAACTAAAAACTTCAGTTCTGAGTAAGACTCAGCCACTCCGGCCTCTCCTTGACTTCTGGGGTGGGTGATGAGGTTTTGTTGGTTTGTTTGCCTTGTGGGTTTTTTTTTTCCCTCCCGTTAATCTTCCTGGCTTTCTGGTCTACCTCAGAAAGACTAGAGATTAGGAGAAATAAGGCAAACATTGGAAACAACTTGCTGTATTGGCCATACGTGAATCTTCATTACACATTTTGTGATAGGATCAGCTTCACATTTTACTTCTCTCGTGAGGGACTGATACAAACAAAATGCATTCCCTCAGAATTTACGGTTACCTGGAGACTTTCCCACAAGCATACTTAAAATCAGTATATTGAAATATTTTTCTTTGCATTAATTCTTTTTAAATCAATCTATAGACTTAAATCTTTGTATGAAGTTCTTCAATGAATTTTTTGTCTTTTTGAGTACAGTGTTCTTCTATAATTTGTACAAAGAACAGAGATAAAAAGGAGTCAAATTAAAATTACCATAATATCCGACCTTCAATTTGCTATTTCTACACAATAAAAATGGCAGGCATTATACCACAGCAAAAACACTCTTTTGATGGGTTTATAGACTAGTAATATCAACGTGTTACGGTAAGAAATAATGTAAAAATAAAAAAAAAAAAGTTAAGCATTATGATTTATATTTCTCTCTAGCATTTTTACATGTTTACTCAAAGGGAAACTAATAAATAAATAGGAATTGTATTACTTCCTCCTTTATAATCAGAAAATAATGTTTCAACCTTGGAATAATACCAGGTGTGGCCAGGCTTTTCAGCTGCATACAGCCTGTGGGCAGTTGAAGCATGGTTCCCAAGCCTCGGACGCACCGGGTGACCAGCAGCAGGCTGTGCTAATGCAGTATCTGCTGGGTATTCCACATCCACACTGGTGAAAGAAAGGCAGCCAGGAGGGGGAACTGAGGCCAATGCTGCAAGGCCTCCCTGGGACCTATTCATACCCCGTGAAGCCTCATACCACAACAGAACAGTACCATTAACTGAGAGCCAGTATCGCCTTGTACACACAAGCAACTCTTAGAGCTACACTCCTCTAATGTGTGTCCTAATGTGGGATATGCAGACATACAGTAGGTGATTTGAAAGAGCAGAAAAAAATTGGCTGCCACAGAACAACAGGCAATTAAAGGCAAATTTCTTTAGTGTCTTACATTTACTTAAAACATTTACTATGCAGGAAAGCACATTTTGTCTCCAAAGCCTCAGATAGTACCTTGTAAGACGCAAATTATTTTTGCTCACTTGCATACACCCAGAACACTTGTTTTACCATCCACTCTCCTCTGACCTGCTTCTAAGCTTCTAATTGACCTCGGGGTCAAGAGCTTCATCCCTACTTTGGTTCTCCCAACAGCTGTGAAATAGCAAGAAACAGAGCAAATGGGCAATCACTCGTGCCACACATCCTGCAATTGCTCGCTCCCCACAACTTATATCAATACTGGTGCTGTACAGTAAGTTGGGACACATCAAAACCCTCTAAAATTGGGAATTAACGAGATATTTAACTTTACTGACTTGGATAAATCCCTTCAAAAAAATCTCTTTTTTAAGGCATACATTATTAAATGCAATAAATTTTACTTCAATCTCACATGATGATTTTACATAAAGTCATATGGGAAGACAAAAACAACCCACATGAATGTTTGATGACCTAATCAAATCTTGCTTAAAAGCTAACTTTGCCAAAGGAGATGCCCTGCTGGCAAAGCCTCTTGAGTTTAATGACACATTGCCAATCCATTTAAGGCCAAAGCTGAACCATCTCTAAACAGGTGTTGAAATGTAATCATGGATTAAAAGAAAACCTGACAGAAAAATGCCAAGAAATTAAACACCTCTGGGTCACTAGTTTGAATCTATTCCAGGCTACTAAATCAGCTACAGTAATTACCATCTGGTAGTCTACATAAAAATAAATAACTGGCCTTTTTGTTTTAATTCACTTCATGCTACACAAAGGTCTTTATAAACAAAAGTTTCAGTTGTAATTGAAAGCTTTGTTGATAATCTCACTAGGTTATACCCAGTGCAACTACGTATCAAGCTTGAACTGCCTTCTCATTACTGGCGAGCCACCCGAAGTTCTTCCAACAGTTCACTGCTAGGGTGTATGCGCTACACCTACACTAGTATGGACAGAAGATAACAGGAAACTCTATTTTCTGAACAAGAATCCATTTCTGTCTGAAACAAACAAAAATGCTTTCTGCTCCACTACACTCAGGCCAACAGCAGGCTCATAATTTAACTAAAAAAAAAAACATTTCCTAGTGCTGACTGGCATTAATGATGTTGGTGTAAAAATAAAGACATTCATTGCTAAGCTTCACCACATCAAGGTGGAGGAAAAGTAGTTGACAGGAACGCTAACGAACACTCCTATCTTCAGTTTTCTGAAGGAAATACTTTGTGAAGAATAATTAACATTTTTAAGAAAGACGACTTTTCTTAAGTTGTATGTCTGCACATCCAAAGAAAAAACTCTAGTCAGCTGTTCTGGGAATAAACTGCAATTGACATATGACTGTTCGCCCACAAAAGAAAAGTACACTTAACACAACTGTCTATTCCGTATTCCATTCACCATTTGAACTGAAATTCTTGCACACTATATTTAGCTGGTTTATTTCTTTGTAAGAACAATTTTCAGTTCCAATAAGCATTTTAATTGAGTTTTGTTTCTTTCCTTTTTTCCTTCTTTTATTTATTTTTTTTTAAACATATAGCCTTCTTCCAGGTCATTCTCATGAAAGAGTAAACTATAAATGACCTTAAAAACAATTTGCATTCTTTTTTTATGTTTTTCTTGAGCCTACATTATAAGAATTAAACTTGGTAATAGTCAATGTAATTTACACTCCACTTAATGTTTCTTTCACACCACAGATATTTGATTTATGATACATTTTATATATTCTTTTCCTTTGGCTTCTTCAAACAAGCTTAAAGATGCTGTTTTCACCCCCAAATTTAACTAAACTAAATGCATAGATATAAAAGCCTATATAGCCTCTCTCAAAATACAATCGTCAACCAGTTTAAAAAAAAACCAATCAGGTTTTAGTTTCTCTCATCCTCCTCTCACCATTTTTCTTCCCGTTTCTTGACATAAAATGCAGACTACGGTAAAATGGCATAGGCCATCACAAGGGCATGCAAACAAAGCATTTTTCTTCAGTAAAGGCCCACCTTAATTATTTTAAGTGCCTCCTTCTGAAATCTGACATTTTGAAGGAGGAGGGGAAGTAGGAGAAAGACACTCAATTGGATAAATGAGAGCCAGGCATGGGCAGAAGCTCAGCAACCTGAATCCTGAGACAGAGCTGTTGTAAGTAGAATATTCACATTAACTAATGGGGGGAGAGATGGATGCTAGGTAAAAGCAATCAATACAAGAAGTGGCAAAAAGTTTAAATTGACCTCTCCTTGTGGCTTTTGTTTTATTGGTTTTTGCTGTTTTGGTTTTGGGGGTGAGGTGTTGTTTTTAATAAAGTTGCCTTTGAGGAAGAACTTGTGTACACAGGCAGGTGGTTTTGTTTCCTTAATTTGAGGAAGCAGTTCAGCACTGACAGGGCTTTGAAAAACTCAATGGCAGAAGCAACATTTAATTAAAAGTATTGCTAACTCTTACCCTTTTCTGTCCCAAATGGGGTTCATTTAAATATGGATGCATTTTTAGAAGTTCATCTACAATTGCATTAGTTGCAGATGAATGACGGCAAACTTTGAAAATAACTTGTTGGCTCTTAAATGACTGAAGAAATCATTCAGATTAACTCAATAAACAATTAAAATCTATAGCAGCCATCCTTATATCAACCACTGCTAACACCTTGTTAAACAATCTGCATGCGTAACTAGCACATACAACACTACAGAATATCTGTAGGAGTCTTATCTTCCAGATAAGCTGCCCTAGTGATTCTACTTAAAAAGCCTGAAATACTCTGAAATCTCAAGCCTATGTTAGTGTATTATTGAAGAGAAAAGCACTTATAGTCAAAACAGGATCTCTACCAGGGTATAATCATGTAAGTATAGCTACTTGTTTGTTATATGTTGGTAATCGCAACTATGGCAGAACTTGCTAAAACCTTAAATACAAGCCAAAAAGAGCCCAGAGGTCTCCCTGTCCAGCTAGCTACAACATACAAGGTATCTTTTGCACTGTCATTTCAGAAAACATCTCCAGCATGAGGTCACTGCTGCTCTTATGCTCTTCAGAAGAGGTAATACTTTTTTAAGTGTTGTTCACTAATAAGCTACAGTAATTAATTCCAGGTACCTGAAGTCCTGAATATTCTTGATATTGAAGATTACTTATATTTTATTACATTTTAACTTACATAATCAGCAAGTCATCTTAAACAACAACAAAACAAACCCTGAAGTTAAGCGGTAGTGTAATTTACATATGGGGCAATTTACTCTAGAACCCTGTCTCTTCGCGTCCTCCTTGCTCCAAAGCCTTCCATCTCTGAGTTCTTCTACATTCTGCTTCCCCTGCCACCAAATCCCTGCTTGCTGGTCTCCAATTTTCCATGAGTTATCAGATAGCTGTTTTCTCCACTACCATTATTTTAATGGATTTAAAATCCACAGCAAGAGGTATTGGCTAGGTGCCTACAAAGCGTGAAACATCACTTCCGTTGTATTCGTCTTTTCTGCCTAATCTGACAGACAGAAAAGCTGATTTTTGAACAGAAAATCTGAAGCGTGTTACACTGACTTCTTAACAGACTACCTTAAAATCATAAAAATGATAAAATGACAGCTTAGAAAGATTATAAGAAGTCCTAATTTAAAATTCTTCATGAATCTTACTATATTCTATAATATTCTGCAATTAAGGCAAAAGGGAAAGTACTGTAATTATGAATAAAGTTTCAAAAATGCAGCAACAGCAATTGCTCAACTTAATTCTTTTCCATCTGACTCACCACAGTGTGGAATAAACATCAAATCTTGATTTGGCCGCAACAGTTGATTTAATTACACATCATCATTTTTGCTTTAAAAACTTGCAAAAAGAAAGGTTTCTTTAATAAAATAGCCACACAGTTCTGATGAAACTTTTAAAAGAGGAGGAGATACTAACTTTTGCATCTCTTTGTAGGCAAGGTTAAAGGCTATAAAAATTGATGCTGAAAGACCAGACTTCATTGCATTTATAATTTTTACAAGCCTTTTGCGAACAGATTAGGAATTATGAATTATATGCTTTTTCCAGCTTGAACACAGACAGAAATTGAACATTGATGCTATTTATACTATTTATACTTCAGAATTAATACTCAATATTTTTGTAAACCAAAGTAAAATCTACTTTGCATTCCCTGATCCATATTCATTAGCAGTGACATTAAAAACAAATGGGTGTATTCAAGGGAAATGAAAAGAATGCACATTTGACATTAAAAAAGTTACTCTGATAACTGATCTGACAATACTTACACTGGATGAATATCAGCTAAATTTTACAGTTTATAGTGTTAGATTAAAAAACAAACACAACCATGGGCAAGTCAGCCACATTTATGTTTATAAATTACAACCATACCTTTTTTACTTTACCTTAGTAATTTCAGGTATCAATTTATATTGTCATTATCTAGTGACTCACAAAAAAGCTCACTCAATCAGAAAAAGTAATTTCACTCTTCCCACAAATTTAAATGACATATATCTGCTATGAAAACATAGCATTTACTTATTTGAGATAAAAACACTTTTGTTAACAGATCACTTAAAAGACACTGCTATTCCTTATTAGATGTATGAACTTACAATATTAAATTTGCCTCCAATAATATTTACAATATTAAATTTGCCTCCAAAGACTGATTTTTTTAATATATATATATATATATGGTATGTGCTTGAGCTACGAAATTCACAAGAACAAGTGCTACACATCTGATTATGCATAATAACACCATCAAGAAAAATAAAGTAATATAACTCAAAATCATTACTATTACCTGGAATAGCTGAGGTAAAGCTTTCACAGTGAGACAGAACCATATTCCCAGCTTGCATGGAAGTAAGTCATGCCACTGTGGTTTGTCCAGTATTCTGCAGTCAAATAAAATTGTAAGTTTTTCATTACTGCCACAGAATCTCAAAGTCAGAACTTTCCCATTATCCTTTATGATGATTAGCACTTGTCAACTCCTATAAAAATGTGTAGCTACATAATAATAAAGATACATTTTGAATATTTAATTCAAAATACCTAACAGCCAAACTTCTAATCATCGCTGTATTTTAATCTCTTAAAAAGGGCCTTTCTTCAAGAAAATAAATTCATAAGCCACACAATCACTTCAGTTTAAAAAAACCCCAAACCAAAAAAAACCCGCAAGCCTCAACCAAATGTTCACAAGTGCTGACAACCAGATATGAAGACTGTAGCATAAACAAAACAATACATAAAAATTAATGTCATTTGCAGTTCACTAGAGCATTACTCACTGATGTCATCAGGAAAGACGACAGGCAGAATGGTCTCTGATCTCCATCCTGCATTGATCCAGTTCATGCCCCTGCTGTGTGAACTATTTAAACCCTTTATTTCTTTCTATGAATCAATAGAAGAAATGGTGGTATCTTTTGGAGTGTCCTGAAAGTCACTATTTCTCTATGTGTTTCTTAAACAATGGTGTTAGAAGCCTTTACCAACACGCTTGGTTTTAAGTTAAGCAGATAAAAAGCATTAAATCAGACAAGCATTAAACCCCATAAAAAGTCCTTGCTTGGTATGGTAATAAACTAAAGCTTAAATAAACTGAAATTTGTTAATTGTAATCAAAGGCAAAAATCTTCAAAGATGGAAGAAGCTGTAAAATCTTCTAAAATCAACTTCTAGAAATAATACCCTTCTATAAGCCAGATGCCATTAATTCAGCCTTAGTCTTTCGATTACTGTTGATCTGCTGAATAAACACCACACACTTGTTTACAAATCAAAACCTGAAAACACATCTACACTGGCACACTTTACATCAGCAATGGCTGTTACTACAAATACAGTTATTTTTCTCATAAAATAGTTCAAAGATGCAAGGAGAAAATGATAGAACTAAATCAGTAGCTGATAAAATATTTTAAAATGCAGAAAACAAGAGAGTTCCTTCCCACCTTTCATTTTTGTCTAGAGCTGCAAGTTTGGCTTCATCTGTACTCCTGCTGCCTGTTTTTTTCTTCTTCTCCCTCTTTTTTCTGCTAAGCAGTTCATCCTTGATGTAGAAAGAACTACGGTTACAGGTTATCATTAACATGTAAACCACAAATGTTACTGGGACTCTTCTGTGAAGGGTAAACAGTAGAGTAGCATTTATGCAAATGTATCTAGGGGTCCTACATGATTAAGTAAAATGATCTATCTTAACAATAACTGTTGCCATGGTATCCAGTCTTTAAACACACATGAAGTCCAGTTCTGTCACTCATGTGTATCTCCATAGCAATCAAAGTTTTCTAAGAGGAGAAAGCATTCAACTTGCCTCCTTTCTCATTCATCAACTTCAATAATGCAGTGGAAAATAAAAAAAGTAAATAGATGCTAATGTATGAATATTTTTCAAGTTATGCTTAGGTTTTTTCCTAGTCTACTAAGTGCAATAGATTTTTATATGACAAAAAATAAAATAATCAAAAAATAATGTGGCTTGTACTGCTTACCAATGCCTATCCTGTTAACAAAAACCCAAAACAAAAAAGCATTTAGCTAAGAACAAAGGCAAAGCAAGTATGACTTTTAAATGAATAAAAACTTATTATTTTTAAACAACATTTAGGAAAACCATAGCCACAACTACAGTAGCATATGATTCTGCGTCAATAGATGATAGAAGAGTTTTTATTCCTCTTCTTCCTTCCAGTTAAAAACCAAAGAACCATCTCTTGCTATTTATTACCAATTCTAGAAAAATTAAGTTGTTTTTAGATTACTGTTTCTGATATGTTGAATATCTCATTCTATAACTATCACCATTTAAAGTATAATCCTTCTAAATTATGAAAAATCCAAATTCAAAACAGGGGAAGTGGTAGAGATCCCTATAATATGCGAACTTCTGCAGGAAATTCAATACTAATAATTGAAGCAAGTTTGATTTATTACCAATACTTACCAGCTGTTTTTCCAGGTAGATTGACCAAACCACAGCATAATGACCCACTGTGAGTATAATGAACAAGAGTAATGCCAGCTCAGCATTGCTCATTTTTCTCACCCGCCTGTAGTAGAATACAGGCTGTCGCCAATCTGGTAGTCCATTGATCAGAATATCATCATACCTACAGTAGCAAATATAACAGGCTTTCATGGAGAGCTAAAAATGAAATAAGCCAAACCATCCAATTATAAAACAAAACAAATGATAACCCACAGACCACTTGAATAATACACACACAAAAGATCATTTAGTAATTTTTTTTTTTTTTTTTATAGAGCAATGCCTTGTTTTGTCAGCTGCTAGGCTTGCATCTGGAAACAAACAGAATCCAGAACCAAATGCTGGGGAAACGTATCTCGTCTTTTGCACAAAAAAAAAAAAAAAAAAAAGTAATTTGATTGCTCCTGCAACAGCCCCCCGCCCACCCCCCAGTTCATTCACTTCTGAAATAACAGACTTCTAGAAATGTAAATGTGTTCTACCTGCCCAGTAATCAGTGGGCAGGTCTCCACGACAGAAGCAAATAACAAACCACAAACTACTAAATAGGTAGCAAAGAACAAAAGTCTCAAACACTAGGAACCTTTTATGCTTTTACAAATTAAAAGCACAAGTGCTGGGGGGAGGGGAGAGGTATCTTTGCTTTTGTTTTGTCCTTCAGTAGCACGATATCCATTAGGTAAAAATGCTGCCAGACTTAACATCCATTCTGTGTCAGATATGAATTTAAGTTAAAGGCTTGATTTTGACGTTAGAACACGAAGTTCACCACAGCTAGACGATTTTGATTTTCTATTTGAAAAGCTGTCTCCAAAATCAATCTATTTTAAAACTGTTTAATTTTACTAACACTACTGACTGTACAGAAACCATTTTATGACAATTTGTCAGTTTTTCTTCACACAAATGTGTTGAAATATCTTCGTATGCCTGGGGTCTTTTATTTACAGTATGTTATCACCAATTTAAAAATAAACAAGCTACAGTCATGCAAAACAGATTTTTCTATTTGTTAACTTTTCAGAGTAAAGTTTCAACAAAAATCTCTACAGTAAACTCAAAAACCTGTATGTTCAAGATGCACAACCTGTTAATCTTAAATTGAACACAACTCATTACATATTCTAATCACACCGTTTCCAGAATTAAATCTGCACTGAAAGGCCTAATTTGGTGCAACACATTGACCAAAATATTTTAATTAAAAATATTCTGAGTTAGGCGCAGGCCTAATTACAGGAATAGAAATAGGGCCTATATTGTCATGCAGGTCAGTAGAACTCAGTAGTAGGTTTTTCTCAAGTAAATTGACCGATCCAGGAATAATAGCGCAGCTGCTAAACTGCCAGTCTTGACATGTAAATCAATTTAAATGCAACAACTGCACTAGCTACTTTGATAGTTATTAAATTGATACCTTGGAGATGTACTAAAAAAAATCTCCATGAGCAAATTCATTTTTTTAAGCAGAAAAAGAGGCAATGGTTTTCAATTATAAAAATATACTTTAATTCAGTGCATCTAGAAAAGCTCACTTCTGATAAAACATTTGTTCGAGTTGGCACTGTTATTTCTATGCAAAAGATTTAACACCTCAAGATTCTGCAGCGTTCTGAATGCTACCAGAAGTAAGAATTTTGTAATATGAATTTATCTTCCATGCCAATTATGAAAATCCTAAGATTAATAGCCATTAATGTAAAATTTGAAGTAATAACTTTTTTCCTTTCCCAGTAAGTCAGAACGAATTAACTACATATGCCTTAACATAAACTCTGTTCAGAAAAATTGTTTAGGACATTATTTCAAAACTAAAACTTCTACTTAACTTTTTGTGTAAGAATTAAGTAGAAGTTTTAGCATTTAAAAAATAATAATGCATTTGCTAAACATTTTATTGTTAGAATACAAGAAAATATTTTACAAACAAAACTATTTTTAAAACAAATTAGGTTGATAACAAGATTTCACAAAAGATGCCCTTCCTTTTAAAGCTTCAGAGAAATATATGTAGAATCAAGACAGATTTTTTTTTAATACTACTATAAATTTATTAAGCATTTGCCTTTCTTATACAATAAGGCTTGTTAATTGACGTACTGAAAATGTGGCTACTGATTAAATAAGGTCCATATATGCTAATGGTAACAATACAGTAATACGTGAAACAAGATTGCAAACTAACGTTTGGCAACCACTTTCTATTATAAATTATCTGTTAAGAAAAAATAAATTAAGACAGCAGAGTCTCTTGCATTAAACACTTTAAACAGCACTCTGTATTTACTAGGCTATGTCCGCTGTTCTGAACAACAGTCTCCAAGGATTAAGTCTCAGAATCAATGCTCTATTGATTTTACTATCAATGAGCATTATGGCTCACACGACTGGCCATTTTAAGGGAAGATAGCTTCTATTATAACCCACTTTTTAGAATATATACTGTTAAAAGATAAATCACTGCTTTCAATAGTAATTAAGCTCTGTATTTGAAAAATAAAGATATCAATGATTTTTAGGTTTTCAACTGGAGAATGATCCTACTGAAACTCAGAAGCTTCCCATAATTTTTAAATCTTGATTTCCAAATTTAGGATGTGGTTTAATTAAAAGCAAGTTTCTCATTAAAGAATTTCTTTACAGAAGCCTATATTAACTATGAAAGATAGTTGGTTAATCCATGTGCATCAAGAACTACATTCAAAATTCAATTACAAAGCATTCTTCTTTCCACAACCTATATTAATTGTTACTCTATGTAAAAAAAAAAAAAATCAAGCTGAAAAGGAAAAATACATCTGCAGTATTTTTTCCTCAAACATATGTACACAGAATGCAGCAAATCTTTGACATATGAGTATGCCTGCCAGTTGTCTCTGAAGTGTAGCAGTCAGCAAGCTAAAAAAACCCCAAAGCACCAGTACAGAAACAAAAAGACAAAAAAATCCCCATTTATAACTTAAGTTGAATCTTTATTTTAAAAATCAGGATTCTACACAAGACTTGTTAGTCTTGTACTAACAAGTAACCAATTGCAAGATTATTAAAATTTAATTCTTCTGTGAAGTTTCATGAAATAGTTTTTAGAGCTCTTTGTAGAATCAATTACATTGCAAGAAAAAAAAATCCATTAACTGTAGTAGCTAATTACAGTATCATCTATTTTAATATAATTATAATTTACTCTTCCCTTTAAGAGAGCCACTGCCTTTCATATTTCAAATAATTTCAGAGATCTGATATAGTTTATATACTATAAACTTGAACTAATGAGATCTATTCTGAACTATGGGAAGACTGCACTGGCATTTTTTATTTTGGGGGCCCTTTTTTCCTCAAGCTGTCAAAGACATCCAGTGCAACGTCAGCCAGAACAATTTATACCTATGAATACAGACATTTAATTATAATGAGAGCTAAGATAAACATCTTTCTTACTCTAAACAAGTATATCTTGATTCCTTTGCAAATGCTTCCTGTAATCAAGCCTACATTGTTACAGAGGATAGGCCTGGTAGGTAAAAAAAGCTCCTTAATGTGGTAACAAACAATGAAATTAAAATCCAAGATATTTGCCTAATTACAATTAATAGAAGTGTGTAAAACTATCTACTTTTTCATGAATTAAAAATAATCAAAGACTAATAAAATTTATCATCGTCAAGTTGTTTTACCAATAAATGCCCTAAAGTAAAGCGTATTTCAAGAAAGACACCTATCTACATACCCTAAAGATAAACTTTTCTGTAGAATTTCACACACTCTGCAGTGTGTATACAAAACATAAAATATTATGTTCTGCTGTCTGTATGTTTAATTTAATGTTAAACACTGCTACATTAAACAATGCTGCATGTATGTTTAATGATAGACAATTAGAATGTTTTGATTATGTATCAAAGTGTGTAAGAGAAAAGTACTAACACAGTAATATTACTGTATTCTGTAGTACTACTAATAATATTAGTATACTCAACAAGCAACTATGTAACTTTCTCAAAAACACAAACCACTTTTTAAGTCCTGTACTGTAATTGTCAGTAGAGGAACTATAATATTTTAAGAAAGGCTTCTGCCATCAGACAAAAATAAAAATTCACTGAGAAATATGACAATACAAAGGTTTTAGAAGAATAATTACATATAGCTGGCCAACAGATCTGTCTTTTTAGAAAGCTGTTTCTGTACACGCGCACAAACAATTAACACCTCTGATGTTCACCAAGACGTGGAGGAAGCCTGTAATTAGACCCAGTTTTATTGTTTCAAAATGAGTTAATCACTCACTCATACAGTGCAGGACCTTATTCCTGCCTTTAGTGGTTCCACTCTGCACACATACCAGGACCAAGGCTGGATTACACCACTTTTGAGATGAGCAGTAAGAGGCAGGTACAGCTGACTTCGCTGTGCAGAAGCAGAAGCCTGAAGCTCACTCTTCTGGAGGTAGTGTAATCCCATGCCCCAAACCATTTAGGTGTCCAGTTGTGAAGGGATTCCCAGCTCAACTGACAGAATTCCTCGCCAACTAATTTGTGAGAAATGGAGCTAATTTCCATCTCATCCCATCAGGTCTTTGAGTTACTTTAGAAATAAAAACTGCCACACTGCCCAGGGCGAGGCAGGGCAGGGCGGGGGGGACACGGGGCAGAACCACAAAAACACCACACATCTGGCAGAGAACTTTATTACAGCAGACCCAAATAGGTGTGTCTGGAATCAGCATAAAACTGAGTTGATAAGCCCTGAGAGACAAAGGGTGCAGCACAGCTTCTCACCAGTGCATGGGCATGACAGTAAACTTTGAGCCTCTTCCACTAGCTCCAGCACCTCAGACAATGCATAGCCAAATATCAACATCTAAAGTAGGAAGATCCCAAAAAGCAACAACTCTCCCCTTTCCTTCACCATAGGCTTGCAAGAAACCCATGAGTTACCTTACAACAGAACAATATTACAGGGGGAGCAGCTCCCAGCACACTTACTGAAGACCTGTTTTAAAGACATGCTACAACATTGCCTTACAGGATACAGGACAGACCACACTCCGTTTACAAGCTCAACTGAGAGTTTATCATTAGGCTGTGTAATAACTCTGATCAATAAAGATTTTCTCAAACCAATGAGACCATATAGCTCTGCTACTCTACATGTTATTTCTAAACTCTGCATATTATTTCCGGAAAATTCTCTGAAGGTAAACACTATTTAACTCACTACATTTCTATTTAATCAACTATAGAGGTAATATCAACCAGACATCCACACCCTGCAAGAAAAATACGACATTGTCTATGTACAAAATAAGTTATTGACAACGAAATCAATCTAAGCTGGAACAATCTACTGCTGCTTTAACTTCTCCTTTGTAATTACTGTGCTGCACTAATTAACAATAGTCTCACAAGTTGGGTAAGTTAGTCACATTTGTAATGTATACAAGGCTTAAAAACATAATTTTTACAAGCTACTGCATCATGGTTCCATGCAAAAAGCTGTTGTTACAGCTGCAAGGAAATTCCTAGAAGTTCCGTGCTGGAACTAAGCTCCAGAGAGTCAATATCACAAAGTGCATGTAAACAATGTTATAAACAAACAGGTGGTAAAATTTTGGGGATAACTCACTTTTCAAGTGGCCTGAAACCACTTAACTAACAATTTTTTTAAACTTTCCTTGAGTAGAACTTCACAATGAAATTCTCTTGTGAGAGGTGAAACTAAAAAGAAAAAAATTTTTCCAAAAGTACCTCTATGAAGTACATTTTCATGACACTTCAAGAGAGGATTATCAAAAAGTAGATAATCTGTACTATAAAACCTGGACTCCTGCCAAGACATCCACAAAGCCAAAAACCCTTCAAGAAATGTCTTGTGAAGCCCTGTTTAAAGATTTGTAAGACGGAAGATGATTTACTAAAACTCCAACCCAAAAGTAAAACTCCTTCAGCATCCCAGTTTTCCTGATAATCATTAGTTTAAATGTTCATTTGCTTAAAAGGGGGGGAGTTCAAAACAGTTTTCCAGAAAGCAGATCAGCCCCAGGTTTTCAGTTCTTAATCCTATCTTCTTCAGGCACTGCTGGACCTGCTCCTGAAGCAGCAAGGACAACTACCATTTATTTTTTTTAAAAAAAATGTGCTATGTACATCAAAGTTTACAGTATTATAAATAATACATCTGAAAGAAAAACAATTAACTAAGCAGCAGGAAACAATGTTGAAGAAGACATAAACTGGAAATAATCCTTAAATATCATGCAACAAACCTTTTACTGATATAGTAAGATATGACTGACAGCTGAATCAGTGGCCTACATTTCAACCACAGCCTTAATAAAAAATCAATGATAATTGACACAACTCAGCAAAAAGTGAGCTTAAAAGTTAAGTGTTAAAAAAATTGCTCCAAATAACATCTAGCTTTTCAGGTTCTTTCAAATACTAGTTTTAAAGATTAACCAGTATATCACACAAAAATACACACCAGCTTCCCCTTTAAGCCACATACAATCTTTAATTAAACAGCTATATAGGAATTACAAACAAATTATGCAAAAAAAAATCATCTGAAGAGTTACAATTAAGTCAAATAGAACTTCAATATATCACTGGCATGAATGCTATATTTAAGAACCTGTGCAAATTAACTCACCTCTGCCTCCTTTCTTCATCCTTTAAAACCTCATAGATGGCCACCAACTAAAACAAAAACAGAACAAGAAAAAAACCACACAAAAGAGTTTACTTTAGGATTGAGTTTATAAAGTCTGAATAGTAGTATCATATCTTACATTTGCCAACTAATGCCATTTTTCACTTTCCTGAAACAGGAAGAAGCAACTCTGTGTGCAAAAGAAACAGTGACATATTCATATACAAAGTATCATCCGATACACAAACAAGCAACTCCTACAAAAGACTTTTTTTTCCCCTCCTCACACCTGTCAGACTGAGTCTTGTCTCAGTTACACCTTAAAAATAAAAGGTATCATTTGTTTCATCCTAAAGATCTTACTGAAATTAAGTAGCCTGTATTTAGTCATCAGAAGTATATTTTTAAAGGTAGAGCTAATTACAACAGTCTTGTGGTTTCACTCTGTAAAGATTCAAAAGGCGAAAAATTCAAAAATTAAAATTAATTATTTTCATTAAATTATGCCTACATATGACTTGCATTGAGAACTGATCCGAAATTTTCCCTAGTGCTTTTATAAACAGTCTCACATAAAGTGCAAAACGTATTTTCCTCCTAAGAGTATAAGTATTATGTTCAAATTATTTTTAATATACAGGTAAATACTAAATCTGTGTTATTCAACCTGTTAATTACAAAAAAGTGTACTTGTTTTTAATCTAGCTACATCAGGAAAAATGTAATTCAATGTCCAACTTAGTCATTTCAAAGGCGTACCATTGTTCTTACTAAAACGACATCATCATAAAAAATTTCTCTTTTCCCTAAAACTTTTATTGCTACACATTGCACTTACTTGCCTAAACTGTGTTTCTGCATTTTCATCTTTATTCTTGTCTGGGTGTAAAATTAGTGAAAGCTTTCGATATGCTTTCCGAATGTCTGCAGACGAAGCATCCTGAAAAAGAAAAACAAAGCAAACTGTCAGAAAGTAATTCCCAGAACTTTGTCAAGACCTGAAGACAGCCAACCAAGTGCGGGAACTAAGGCAACGTAATCTGAGATGTCTAACAACCAAACCACGCAACTAGCCTAGCCTAAATGGCTGAACAGTCACTCAGTCCAATTCATCTTTCATCTTAACTTCCTTCATTACCATACATCCATTACAATGATATTTGCCAAAACTTCCAAATGCTTGCTTAAAAACTAACCTGGGCACCTTCTGCACCATTTAAAAGTTCAAATAAAAACTGAAGATATGCAGATGCGATAATTTTCAAGACAGACATAATTTCAGCAAATTGTCACGCTCAGTTTCCCAAACTGAGGACTTGCTATGAACTCTTCCCTTATTAATATTTACATGTAATTCACCACTAATAGGACTTCCATTCAACTTCAGCTTCACCATGTCTAAAGAACTGTATTTTTCTAAAGTAGCTTCAAATTGCAGTCTTGAAGCTATACAGTAGCACTGACATCAATCTATACCTTAACCATTATAAGAATTGCACACATTTTGGGAGAAAAAAAAAACTCAGAATGTAAAATGCATCAATGATATACCAACTTAGCTGCACAATGCACGAATTTCTGAATTAATTACTGCTATTTAGTACATGCTATAAAGATATCCAGAAATGGAAGATTTCAAGAGCTGTATTATATAGTATATAGGTGTTACACTCACCAGAAGATCCACAAAGCATCGCATTTAAACAGAACTCCTTGCATTCTATTACTAACATGTCCAAGACAACATTTTAGAAATCAACTGTTTATCTGACAATTTTTATTTCTTGATTTTATATATATTGTTCCCCAGTATATTCTCTCTCTCAAAATTACAGTGTCAATAGGGATTAGAAAACACCAAAACCCAGATCTGAATTAGCTGTGAAAGGAACAGAGCTGAAATAAGATAATAATTAATGCAATACTATAATTAGTCTGTCAGGCTTTTTATTACAAATCATTATTTTCATTTTAAAATTTTCAGTTTTATAACATGAGGTTATAATAATGCTGTATACAAGTTTGGTCCAGGAGTGAATATTGGAGAAAGACTGGAGGAGGAGAAGGGGAAAAGGATAAAGCGGGGGGAAAATGCAGAATTTGAGAAAATTCAGCTTTGAAATTATATTTTAAGGAAGCTGGTATTATCCCCTAATGCAAGACCAATGTTTCCATAGTCTCTTGTCTGTCAAAGGAAGGTGCTTTTATTACTCACAGGGAAGATTTCTCCCGAAAAGACCGCATATGCTTTTTTTCATTTTTAAATTTTCCAACAGCTAATTCTAAGGCATGTGCACACCAAAGCAGAATTCCTCTGGTTAAGTACCAGCTTGCTTCCTGCCAATGAGTTGTTTCATATTGCCATTGTTTTACAGGTTTATTTTTAACTCTTGGTTAAGGGGAAGGAAGAGACAGTGACTAAATATCTATTCTAAGCACAAAGAAACATTAAATTCTTGAGATGTAGACTTAATAGAATTATACGAAATAAATGTGAAAATGCAGAGTAAATAATTTTTTTAAAAAATTAGGGATTGAGACCATGATAACGTCAAGAAATTACTACCTCCAGACTGTGTATTTGGGATAAACCACAGCTTATTCCTTCTCAACCACACATTTAGATGTGCTTGGTATTATTTTTGGAACACTCCCAATGAACAGTTAAAACCTGATCAAAGCATATTAAAGAGCTGTCCCACAGTATTTTTCCAATTACTTTGAAAAACAAACAAGTAAAAAACAGGTACGGTGTTTTCAGTTGTATCTGAACAATTTAAACTTCAGTTTTCTTTGGGAGCAGCACAATTATTTGTGTAAAAGGTCAGGACAAAAGGTAGTTTATCTGGTTCAGCTTAAGCAAAGCAAGAGATCCCAAGTCAACTCTGAAGGAATAAAGTTGCTTAAATATTTATGTCACTTCACCTTAATAAGTTGAAACAAAAACTTACAAATTTACAAAACCAGATTGTTCATCTTAGTTACCAGAAATAATTTAGAGATTGTTTTGTTTCCCCTCATCTACCAACCCAGTCGGCCACTTCATAAACAATGTGGGCTTGTCTTCAAAACAAAATATAATATTTCGACACTACTATAGCAAATAAAAATCAGGAAATAGTTTACTGGCCATGGTTTTAGCTAAACCATGAAAGTGATCTTTATGCACGTATCAGCTAATTGTAATTAAGCCCCTAAAAGGTTGAAAAGGGGACAATAATACCAATAAGTAATTAAATATGGGATGTTGCTGTAAATGATTTAATTACAACTGGTCCACATAAATTTCTAAAGCGACAGTAAGTCTGCCTGCTAACCAATTCGTCACAATACTGTCAAACACAACACAGGAAAATGTTGTATGTTCCAAACATTTTGCTAATTAATGCTACCTACAGGTATTAGGAATTTTCAGGCAAGGTTCCAGATCCTCTAAGAGCTGCCCTGAACAAAAGCGGTCGGTTTTTGAGAAAAGCCTCTCATCACTACAGAACTTCCTAGCAGTGTATGACCCTAAATAAGCTACTAATAAAGAAACATACTGAAGTCAGCTGTTCTAAGAGACTTTCATTTATAGCTAACTGACTCCACTGGCCACCTTCAGCAACATTTCCATAAAGGCTGAGCAACAAAACACTGAGTTAAGAGTCAGTGTTTTCTACAGACTAAGATATTATTTTACATATTAGGGCAGAAGTCCAAAGATTAGAGAGAGAAAACCATGACCACACTAAGGTTTTGTTTGTTTTAAAGAAAAGGTCAGAAGACATGTTGGATGGCTTCATTTACAATTCAGAAACCTCAATCTCAGTTACCTTTAACGAGGGAAAAATAAAAATCTGTATAGGCATATCAGTTAATAGCAGGAGCCGGTGATGTTACAGACAGCTAGTACATTCAGTGATTTCTCCAACACTGTGCTTCAGGATGGCAAGTTTTGCCACCAATTAAGGCAAATGAGCCTGTCACACTGTCTCCCTCATGTGGATACAAACATCAAAAGCATCACCCTATTTCTTGATAACTATCTTTTCAAAGCAATATTGTCCCATCATACTTCCAAGGTTGAACATCTCTTTACACACCCATCTCCAGTTAACGGATCTTACAAATTGAGAACTACTCTCACTGCAACAACAGCACACACTTCCACGTGCAGCATCTCAGTCCACTTTCATATGAGTCACTGCTGTTCAGGCGGAAAAAAGGCAATACTCCATCACGTGTATTTTGAAAAATAAAGCATAATATAAGCACTTATACTAAAAGATAATGCAAAATGAATGCTCTAAGCTAAAATAAAAACTGCTCACCCATCAGCTGCATAGCTGGAAAAAATGCACATAGTAGACAAGTCAATGAGGAAAAGGTGTTTTGTGCTAGAATTAGTTCTCAGACATACCAAACTGCAAGTCTATATTTAGATAGGCCACAGTTTGGCCTCTTATGCATGCAAATATGCAAGTAATTGTGTGGGAATTTTTTAACTGCTAACACTTTATTGAACAAGCAGAGTGTCCATGTGTCTGGTTACATGACCTATAAGTAGAAGTTAAAAGTTCAATCTTTTACACTTTTTCGCTTAATCCCTTACACTACAAACAAGTAGTTTAGCACACAAACAAAATAACCATTTGAAGGAATCAACAGGATGTCAAAAGTTAAACACATTTCTTAAGGTACTCTGTTGGAATTTTTGTCTAAAGGGTGATACACATCAGATTCCCGATATGTCATTTACTTTTGGCAGCTTGTTCAATTCAGGCAATGAAAAACACATTACTAAATTTTATTTTACTCAGCATCATTTTCATATTCTTTAGTATTACCAAGAAAAGTTCTATCATTAGACTACAAATACATAAGGAGAAACAAAGAAAGGATTTTTTTCACAACACAAAAAAATAACTTATCTAAATAGGCATTTGCTTTCCTTTTTTTTAAATTAAATTCTTGCTGAAAATACACAAAATTTCAAATCTGATCTCCTCTGTCTTTACAAATTCAGACTCCCACCTACAGAGTTCACTTCCACCTTTACAATAAATAGGAAAACTGGTGTATTACAGTACAAGTATATTAATCCATTGCTTTCTATTCCTAATGTAACTATGATTACTAATGAAGCTAAAAAAATGCCTCATTGTGGTCCCAAGACAATTCTTGGTGAACACATAACATATCAGATATTGCCATAGGCAAACAGTGATTAGGTCAAGGGGAAAAAATAATCAATGCCTACATAGTTTTCACTTACCAACATATACAATTCAAAACCTAAATTGTTCCCTTGAGTGCAATGCAGTTATACAACAAGACTTAGTTACTTACAATTTAGCAAGTGCTTCTAAAGCAGTAAATGCGCTCAATTCATCTTGGGTTTTAAATATGCCTGCCGATGTCTTCAAATAGGTGGCATTATCTTTATTAGCAATGGGAAGGCATGTGGTCCAGAGGACCAAGTATGTGGATAGAAATCACATTTTTATTCACTTGCAGTTTGTCCGATCACTTGTTAATGGGTGAAAAAACACTCTTGTGTTTGAGTATTTTTTTTTTAATTCAAGAGCAATTCAAATGTATATGGTTTCTTCAACAAAATATCCCATTCAGAATTTTTGTGTAGAAGGGGTATATTAACTACTTTCCTTTGGTAACCATCAGGTATACAAGTTGAAGCAGAATGGTGCAGAAAAAGAAACAAAAGGTAAGCTTTGTAAATTCACAATCACATATTTTTCTTCTGTGATTTGAATCTGCAGGATGCACAGGCTGTCCCACAAAAATTCACAAAACAAGCAGGGGCAGATAACTGGACAGAAGCTGCAACTGTCTGTTAAACATTGTGTCAACATTGCTACTTCCTACCTGGTCGTTTTCATGTGAAGTCCACAGAAAACTAATATCCATAAGTGTCAGAGACCAAACAAACATGACTGTAGGCCAACCATTAAATATCCACA